GAATGTGCCATGTGTTTATGAGCAGCATTTTATAAAATGTCAATCATTTTATTTCCAGAAAGAACTTATGAGAGACATACTAAGAGTAAACCCACTTTACAGATGAGGCACAGAGGGCCTAAGGAACTTACCCCAGGTCACACAGCTAGTAGCAGCTAGTACTAGGATTCCATCTCGAACAATCTGGTTCCAATATACTTACTCTTAACCAGAGTGCCACATTGCCCCTTCTAGTAAGAAGGTCAAGATCTCCCAAGAAGGTCAAGTAGGTCAAAAGAAGCTACTCAGTAGTTTTTAGCAACTGTGACATTACCCTTTCTTCCCCCAGGTCAGCCTGCCCTTTTCCTGATTCCTCATAGCCACAACTATTTTACCACCTAGGAGTATCTTCTTATCTAGTCAGCATTCTGTTGTGCTGTCTGTATACTCTGTACATGCCTAGACTTGCTCCCAGATCAACCAGCCAAAACCACAGGAAATGAGAAAACCACAGTAACAAAAACATCAGGGGTAGGTTTATAGAACAGGGCTCAGCACCAACATCAGATCAGTGTTTCCCAAGCATTATCTTATTTGAGGTCTCTCACAGACACTTGTTAAAAATGCTAATTCTCCAACCTCTCCTAGAGAGATGCTTTGATTTGAGTGGGCCCCTGAAATCTGTCTGCTAAATCAGATTCTAGTTTTATTTTTATTTTTTTTGAGGAACTGCCATACTGTTTTTCCATGGTGGTGGGTACCATTTTACCTTCCTACCAACAATGCACAGGTGTTTTGAGTTTTTCCATTCTCTCCCATACTTGTTATTTCCTGCTGTTTTTGATAGCAGCCACCTAATGATGGGTGTCACGAGGTATCTCATCGTAGTTTTGATTTGTATTTCCCTAGTGCAGTGGCCTTCACTTTTAACCCTTTCCCACGGGTTACTGCTGGGTCTCTTGTTACCCTTTTGGGTATTTTCAGTGGCACGCCAGCATCTGGGGATTTCCTCCAAATAGCAGAACATCAGATTTTTGTAATGTCAAGGCTCAAAGCTTACAAATTACGTGTTTAAACATGCTAGGATCCCACTGAACAATGAAGAATACAATTCTCTCCAGAGATAGAATATTTGGAGTTTCCCCAATCTGCTAAAGAGTAGTATGTCATAAGTAATTACAACTTTCAACATATCACCTTGCCATCAAGAATTCCTTGATACCTGGAGTCAAGCATTTTACATGACTGACTAGAAATTTAAGTTTACTTGCAATTACTTAAAAGAACATTTTTACATTTAGAATTCCCTGCCTTTCAAGTTTCTCACTGGGGACATAAGCCCTTCTCATTCTAGAAAGTGCCAGATTAATATTAAAGCCCTCTCCTTGAAAAGCTGCATCCTTGGTGAATGTATGTATATATATATATATATATATATATATATATATATATATATATATATAAGCTGAGTACATTTCATATTTAGAAATAGTTAAAAGCTGTAACAAAATCTGTGCATACGGTAGCTATCAATATGAGAACTGCTAATTTGTATTAAAAAAATTGAACTTCCTGGCCCTCCCTGGTGGCGCAGCGGGTTAAAGCACTGCACTGAGAAGCTAAAATCACTTCTGCATGAGTTCGATTCCCGCCTGCCCCGGAGGTGACCACATGGCATGGCAGACCTCTCCTGACCCGCCCACTGCTCCCCTCAGCAGTGTACTTCATTGATCTGCCTGTTCTGTTCCCCACTCTGTCTCTGGTGAAGCTGCCCCTGAGCCTCTGCCTGTACCCCAGTTCTGAATGCACAAATAAACCTTTTAAAAAAAAATTGAACTTCTTGGAGATATCCCAAGCATGTATAATGATAAAAGCCTAGGATTTGAAGTGTTACTGCTGAGATTTAGTTCCTGTTCATTCGTGAACTGTGTCATTTAGCCTCTCTATATGGCTTCTTCTTGTGCAACATGGTTATAATAGTTTTAACCAGGTGGGAATGTGGTAAGAACTAAAGAAAATAGTACATGTGCATAGGTCTTTAATATTTATTACTCAGAGTGCATTAAGTGCTTGTAAGCACTAGGTACTCTTGAGTCCTTCAGGGGGCGGTGGGGGTGGGAGGTGAGGCACTGAATTATCGACCTTTGTCTCAGCCAGGATACTTTCCCCTTTACTTGTTCATATCGGGCCTCTGAAGTAATGTTTTATTTGTTCCACAGTTAAAGTGTATTTGAAATATTTGGGCTGAAAAGACAAGGTGTATTGCTAAATGATAAAAGCAGTTTGCAAATGCCTCCTGTAAAATGATCCTATTTTTTCCTTTCTTTACATATTGTTTCAAATGATAGTACCAGATGCAGTTATTGCTAGATGCTAGACCAAAGAAAACTTTTGTTTTCCTTTCACATGTGTTGCTAGCCTGTATTTTATATTTTGCAAGAAGAATAAGTGTATTTCACTAAGTATAATTTCTCTTAGGAATTTAAAGTATGCTTAAATTATTTTTTGAAGTCTGAATTCTCAAATGGCAAAAAAAAAAAAAAAAGGCAAAGCAAATAAAATTGTCCTAAAATACACTGTTCTGTTTTATCCTAGATCTTAGATGTAAATGGCAATGTTCTACCTCCAGGACAAGAAGGAGATATTGGCATTCGAGTTCTACCTAACCGACCATTTGGCCTTTTTACTCATTATGTAGTAAGAGATTTAGCGAATAACCTCTATTTTCTGTTTATTTCTCACTAGTGGTTGATGATCTATCCCTGTTTGCAACAGAACACATCTAGAAAAGATATTTGGCCTTTTCTTGAGAGATTCATTGTCCTGAATGATAATTTACCCTCAGATAATGGGCGTTTCAGCTGCCTCTCCTAGGCTGGTTCACTGCTCAGGGACCGTGAAGGCAAGAGGAAGGCAATCCTAGAAATAAAACAGCCTTCGACATCTACATGCATCCTCTCCAGTATGAAACCCAATTATTTTCCTTAAATCCTCCCTTCTTGGGAGGAGCAGGGTGGATAAAGAATCGAACAATGAGCTTAAGTAGATTTCTTTTAATACGTGTTTTTCAAGCTACTTAATATTTGTAAACACATTTTCACTCTAATCACGAATTAGAGCAGTTTACATAAGTATAATCAAACGGCCAGGTTTTACTTGCCAGTGAACTTTACATAAAGTAGCAATACTTCATTGTTTTTTCCTGCCCGTGTTAAAGAATCCATTCTGTTTTTGTGTAAAATATAAAAGTAAAGAATCCATTCTGTTTTTGTGTAAAATATACAAAGCCCATTCTTTGCATGGTGTTGTTTTCTTATGAGTATTCACTTCAGTTTTCTTACCAGTTAGATATTAATCACTTAGGTAAAGGCTTCAGTCCATTTCTCTGAGGTTTTGTGACATTTTGTGATCCAGCTAAGAAAATTCTCGGGATGGAAGCATAGCTAGTCTTTGTAACTATAGCTTTTCTTTCTTCTATTGTGCTAAAATTTCATGGTTATTTCACGTGTTGACTCGCCTTCATTCTAACACTTTTTCTTGAATGTTTAAAAAGCCAATTGAACAGAAAAGTCACATCCAAAGTCATTTTAACAAAATGCTACTTCCCCCCCACAGGATAATCCTACAAAAACAGCTTCAACTCTACGAGGCAATTTCTATATCACTGGGGACAGGGGCTATATGGATGAAGATGGGTATTTTTGGTTTGTTGCAAGATCAGATGATATCATACTATCCTCTGGGTAATTTTCTTTTTCACCTGGGCTTAGGTGATGTTCAGTGTTCTGATGAACCTGTTGCTTCCCTTTATAAATTCTTGCCCTATTTTTACTTCCCAGCTACCGAATTGGACCTTTTGAGGTGGAAAGTGCCCTGATTGAGCATCCTGCAGTGGCAGAGTCTGCGGTTGTCAGCAGCCCAGACCCCATCAGAGGAGAGGTAAGAGCTGACTCAGCTCAAGTTGGTAAACTGGTGGCAGCCTAACTCATAAATAGTAGCTCCTTGACAAGGAACTACCCAAATGATGCCTACATTTACAGTGCATGCTAGATAGTCATATATTTAATCTATCCACCTGATAGAAATGATAGTACACAGAATAAGGCCAAAAAACATAACAAATTTGTATCTTTTCCATAGAAGGATAGAGAAAAGACAGTGTGACTGTCACCAACCCAGTGTCACACCAGGGAGGAAAGGGTGCTAGGAGTCAGCCAGCTAGGAACCAGTCATTACCCAGGTCTAGAAGTGAACATAAGGTCCACACCCACCCGTCAGCACATAAAAATTAAGTGTTGCTCATAAAAATTGTTCACCAATGAGCTCTTTGTCAATGTGGGGAAAATATATATATATAACTGCAAGCCCGTGTGTGTAAGTGATTGTCTTGAGTGATTCATTTCAATTCATTGTCATTCAAATCTTTACTCCAAGATCAAGATGGAGAGGTAATGATGCCAGCTTATCTTCACACTGGATACATGACTTTGGAAATTCAGTAAAATCTCAATCTTTTAAGTGCAGGGTATTTAGTTATAAAGTGGCAGATGTCCCTGGATAGGTGCTCACGAGGAAGCATCATTTCAAGGCGGACCCTGGGCTGGCAATCTGGATTCGGGTGGTGCATGCTAGTTATCTCATCTAGAGGCCTAGCTCTCGGGAGGGAGTGACCCAGGAGAACCTTACAGAAGCCCCAGTTTGCTCGTAAGGGTGCTGCTACACAAGAGGAACGGCCTTTTTCTGTCAACTATATTAGAAATTCTAGGTAGAACTGTCCAAAATATTTCAAGGAAGAGTGCATTTGGGCAATAGGATCTGTGAGCATAAAGTGGTAACCGAGCTTGATGGTTCCCTCGTTATATGTTCATTATGCCAATGAGCAACGGCCACCACTTCCCGACTTCTTTACCTCAGGAGTGCACATAAATGGGCCAGAGCAACAGCAAAGTGATGCTGGAATTTTCACCGTCTTGCATCAATTGGAGTGTCTCTGGAAGAGAGTATATGGTTTTAATGAACTGTTTCCTTGCACAAGGATATGACCAATTAGTGTGAACACTGTGGATAAGGACCACACTGAGGGTAGGGACCTAGTTACATTGAGTGGGTTGTTACACAAAGACTGAGCTTAGTGCAATGCCTTTTTTAAAGGGAAATTTCCTGGAAGGATAGGAAAGACAAGAAGTCAAGAGCAGAGATAATCAAACAATAGTTCAAGCTGTAGTTGGATGACAAGTTTCAAATGCAGATCATAACCCCCCAAAGCAGGGGTCCCAGAAGCTCTCCTATATTAGATATAGGAGCTGTGGGAGTTAACTGGCTGGCTTAAAAGAAGAGCTGGGATCACATCCTACTAAATCTTCTGGCCCACCCTAATAGGCACTTAAGATTCCTGGCCAGAAAAAGTAAACAAGACATACTAAAACATCAAAATACACAATTCACCTTGTATTGTGTCAAATATTTATTTTAGGTAGTAAAGGCTTTTATTGTCCTGAACCCTGATTACAAGGCACATGATCAACAACTACTAAAAAAGGAGCTTCAAGAGCATGTTAAAAAAACTACAGCACCTTATAAATATCCCAGAAAGGTAGGTACTCTATGATGAATATCTGCTTAGTATTCTGGAAAATTCCAGTTTTTCTATTTTAATTCTCCTCAAACACATTATACCAAATATTTCAAGGTGAACTGAAGAGATGGGTAAGAATCAATTTGGGATTGAAATGAAACCTGTTGGGTCATTTGGCTCACCAGACTTGTAGTAAATACTGATCATCAAGAAAAATGTCCTCAACAATACTTGTCCCCCTTTTTGATTGTTTTTAAAACCTCACCCCAATGTGTACCCTAGTTCTGTAACCTAAACTTTGGAATAGAACTGTTATATAATTGACTGTCAAAAGATGAAAACTTTTGGGCTGATTTTCTTTCCCTTAATACCAACAGGTCGAATTTATTCAACAACTGCCAAAGACTGTCAGTGGGAAGATAAAAAGGAATGAACTGAGGAAGAAAGAATGGAAAGCAATTTAAATGCATCCCATTTATTATCGTGGTATCTATAAAATGAAGACTGAAGAAACCACAAGATTATAGGTGGTAAAAAAAAATGTGGCACTGTGCTTATGATTTGTTGATTTAAAATAGCTTTTAGTTATGACATCATAGCTGAATTTTGAAATAAATATTCAGAAAATTCCTTTATCTATGTTTTGGTCATATAATACCATCAATTGAGGCATTTTTAAACTTATAGTACAGAATCAGTTTGGGAACCAAACCTCTGACCTGTTGGTTTTCAAACCTCAGTTGCAGAATACTTCTATGTTGATATACAAATGTGAAGCCTTGAAATAAAACTTTAAAACCTTCAAGTTTTTAGAAAAATAACAAATATTATCAGCTAGGAGATAATCATAATTCTCAAAGTACAAATATCTACCTAAAATACACTGGGTTTTTATTAGTCATGTTGTTATTCAAATAATTTAAAAACAGTTTAAAATTTATTTCGAGGCTATTATGAAAGGATAACCCATACTATTATTGTTTATCATATTTAACTTAATAGTTTAAACATAAGATACTCTTTTGTGATTCTTAAAGGGTTGATAAGTTCAGCAAATACTAACATGAAATAAAAATAGTAAAAATCTGTCACAATACTCACAGTATTTGGGAATTTGAGGAAAAACTAGGATTCATACATGAAGACACATGTTAGATAACTGGTAAGTGAATTAGAAGCCTGTGTTTATTTTCAGTCTGTAGCACGCACACACACATACATTTCAAATAGCGCCACCACAGGCTACAGAATCTACTCTTAAGAACTCAGAACTTGTAGCCTTTATACTTGTCTTTATGACACTTAAAGTCACATTACAGCAAAATTTAGATATTAAACTTGGTCAATTCCTCATTGAAGGTCTGAGTCTCAGTGAATTTTTTGTAGGAAAGCTTACATTTCTGTCACACAGATAGCTTGCTTCTGGAGAAGTAACAGTGAGTCCCCCTGAAGAGTGAGACAAAATTAAGTTACTGGCTTTTTCCTTTTTAAGCGTATGTTCCCATTTGAAATAACCACAACACTTCTTGTTTTCTTGATGTTTCCCAATAGGGCAACAATAGAAAACTTTTCCATGATTCGGTCCATTGTTAGAAACAACAAGCCTCTTAGATCTCCGGCCACACTTGCATAATGGTGGTGTCATCTTCCCGCTCCTCCAGGGCTCCTGTAGGTTAACTGCAGAAGTTAAGACAGCAGGGAGAACCTTCCGGGAAGAACCGCTTCCGTGGGAGCTGTGAGATGATGTAGGTTTTTCTTCATGAACAGTGAAGGTCTGCTTTTTCGCTGGTGGGAAAACTAGGGAACTGGATGAGTATCTTTTAGTGCCACTGAAAAGAGGAGGATGTTTCCCCAAAACTGAGGAATGAGACATGGTGGCATGAACACCGTTAAAAGTGCTTGATTTACACTCAGGTAATTTGAAGTCAGAATCATCAGAACCTTGATCTTTGGCTTCTTTTACATTATAGATAGTTGTATGAGGGCTCTTAAATACAATAGACTTAGTGGTCTCAGATTTTTGAATTTTTTCTGTGCCTCCAAAATTTCCATGATTTGACATTTTAGATTCTTTTGAACCCATTGTTCTTTCTCCAGAATTAAATGAAGGACCTAAGTTTGAGTCACTAATGGGAGGTATATAGTCTACATTTTGCTCAGGCTGAGATGCGGGCAGTAAAGCTACATCCTCCCAGTCAGCCAACAGAGGTAAACAGTCAAGGGTAGAACTCATTTTCATGTCAGAAACATGATTAACAGATGAAATGGTAGTTGAAACAAGTACCAATTCTGAACCTGTTGTTGAAGACTTAGATTTGTTATTTAAAATCAGATGTTCATTTTTTGTTTGCTTCTGCATATGTATAGGTGAATTCAAGCTGGAAGTCTGAAACTGCCTGAGAGAAGTAGAGGACTTAGTATTTAAGAGAGATAAACTATTGTTGACATCATGAATACTTGTTTTTATATTGCTTTTTAGTCGTAACTCATCTTGCTGTACCTTTATAGGAGAATTCACATCAACTGACTTCATTTGAACTTTTTCATGAGAACTTACTGTGTCTTTAGACTCCCTAACATATGTGCTAGGGTCCGAAATATTACTTTTACAGGCTGATGTTTCTTCAACTTGATTTGTAGTCAAATTTCTGGCCAAAATGTTGGAATTCTTTTTAGGGGGTACCTATGATGTCACAGACAAATCCAAAAGGCTTTAGAAATTGTGCATTTATAATTTCTTCAGTTACATATAGGACAAGAAAAGAAAAATGTCACTGATTTACAAATGACTGCACAGATGAAATCTACAATCATGAAGCTATGAGTCTAGAGTTTGAAATGACAGAAAAGAAGCCAAATATCACTAACCTTGTTCCAACACCTTGTAATTTTCATTACACAACCATCCCTAATCATTTTCCAGGCAAGAAGGGCAGTATTGCGAGAATCATCCAACCCTGGGGACACAGACATCAAACACTGAATGAAGTGGTGCCAATGTAAAGACACAGGCAAGAACAATGACAGAAAGAGAAACTGGAATATCTGTTAGTTTTATGATCATCTTCTTATTTTATTCTAAGAAATTGGTTTTGTAGAAAGCTGTGGTATATAACTAATTAAAGATAAGCTCTCCCATATTTACAGAGAAAGCAAAAATTTGTCAGTTCACAACAATGGGACTAACATTCTGTAGGGAACATAATATATAATCTAACAGTCTTGTTCAAGGCTTTTTTGTTTTCTCCTTCACTAGTCTACTGTATAATGCAAGCAATTGTTTTTCCTCCATTTGATCTGGTTAAGTCTTTTAATATCTTTTAGGAGCTAAAAAGGCACTAGATGGCTTATCTCCCAACAGTTTATGAAAGTGGGAATTTGAGGGTCTGAGGAAAAGGGGAAAAGGAGTAGGAAAAAGAAGGGGCAGGATACAGGCACTGGAGTGTTGGTGGAGGGTGAAGGAAGCATGTGCCTACATGGGTGTGAGGCTATACTCCTAAAATTGTCAAGTTATACAGATAACTAATAAAGTTTAAAAAAAAAAAAAAGAAACCAGAAACCCAAAACAAAACTAAAATGAAAAATTTTAACTTTTACACTGAAAAAAGAAAATACCAATTACATAGATTAGGAGCTTTTTGTATGCTGCAGGAAGTCCTTGTTAATAAGTTTAGTAAAAACTGAGATCATGTGAAAACCTTTATAAAAATGACATAATTTTCAATTTATGCTCACCAGAATGTTCTCGTCCTGAGAATTCTATCCCTACTTCCTTTAGGGCACCACTTAGTCCTTTTGGTTTTCTCTTATAGAAAATCTAATCAAACAAAAGAAGACAATTTATCTAAAGTTGGAACTCTATGGATCAGCTATTTTTCACATTAATTCTATTCAATTTAGATTGTACTTATTTTTCTTAATTTTTAAATACTTTAGATATTTATGTGAAGGTTTCAAAAGAAAATCTTCATTTGTAATAACCCTAACCCATGTGTGATATAAAATTTAATCTTCTTTCCTTAGGAGGAAAGTTAATATGCCCCAACTTGACCCCTACCTTGTAAGTCACTCTGAGATCAATCCAAGAATTTAAGAACACCGGCTTTAACAGCTGCTTTCTTTTACACTCATACTCCAAGCAAACCCCCAAGTCCCAGTCTGTATTAAGTACATCAAAACAGAACAAAGTTAATGGTATATTGCCAATATTTTTGTACTTTTGTTATCATCATTTATAATAAAATGCTGAAAAATTCTGTAACGTAGAATAGTATGATCTAATTTTTTTCCTACTATCTAATAATTATTCACTTTATATAACTTACTGTTAAGAAATTATTTCATAAGTTTCAAAATTATTCTATGAACACCCAATGAAATAGAAAAATAAAGGTTAGATCACAAGTCCCACATGTTTTTAACTTTCCAGGAAAATATTAATGTAGTTGAGAAGCCAAACATTGCAACCTGAATCCCAACATGACTGTCACTGCTTTGCTATCAATGACACAGCATTGCTATCAAATGATTAATGACAATGATGACAAAACATCCACTTGAAATGGCCCATTTATTTTATATCTATATCAGTAAACAATAAAGTATAAAAGCAAAGGACATGCACTGAATAAGGACTTTTTATCCAGTGTTGTAGAAAAGGCATAATAGTTTCGTTTCAGTCATCTTTGCCTGGATTCAGAAGAACAGGATCACTAGAAAGATTCTTACTCTTAAAATTTTATGGTACCTCAGAATGGTAATTTCAAAAATATAAATTTACTTTTCCTAGTTCACATATACGAGGCACTTTATTTCTTCTCATATGAGGAATTAGAATATATAATTCCTACCAGGGCAAGAAAGGCACAGTGGTAATGCTACTCACTTAGGACAGAAAGAATCTGTTCTTACCTGACCATGTAACAAAAGCACATAATTTTACTTCAGAAGTAGAAAGATCTGAAACATCAGTAGCAAATATAATTTTCTTCTGTTGCTGAATTTTGTGAATCCATTTACAGAACTGAGATAAGCAAATCTTCAGAGGGAACCCTTCATTAACTTGAGCCTGAAGAGAGTCACAAAATCTGAATTCAAGGCAGACTTCAGTAACTCTGAGTACCTATTTGGCATGGAATTGGACACTATGGAGGGATACAACATAGTAGGTCCAACTGGCAAGAGTTTGTTCTCATAAAAAGATGTTAAAACACAAAGGAAAAAATATAAATATTAGAACTCCACAAGGTAAGAACAATTAAGCCGAATAATCTGAAATCACAAATAATTACATCCAGGAGGACAAAAATTTGATGTCACTTAATTTTCAAAAAACAAATTTAATATTCATTTTTACAACATTATTCTAATTTTTACAAACTCCAGTGGATTTTTGGAGAGGACATTACTTCTCTTAGCACTGAATAAGTCTAAGTCCAAATGGCATATAGGTTTGCTTTTCGAAACTGATTTCTGAATTTTAATGGTTTTCGTCATACCTGTTTGATTCCTGTCAGTTCCATACAAAATTCAGAAAGAATTGGATGTTCCTGAGGCTGAACATAAGCATGGAACTCAGATTCAATTTCTCCAGTTGATGTGTTCAGCAATACTGCTGGAAACTCAACTAAATGAAAGAATCATCAGTCAACACTTCAATGTTACCACCAAATTAATGTCTGTGACCACTCTAAAATAAACTTGTTACCACACTGTATAGCATTATTAAACAATCATTATTTCAGTAAAACCCTATTAAAATAAGCAAATTAGTGTGATATAGTTGTTCTAATTATTTCAGGCCAAAGAATAAGATGCTAGTTATGAGTACACCTATATAAAAGAAAACTCTTGATTCTGTTTCCAGAATTAAATATGGAGGCTATCTGTAAGTTGAAAAACACCTCTTTCTGCAAAGATATATTTTTTATTTCAGTTCCCATACAGTTGAAATTTTATGTATTCTTATATTAACTTTAAAGTGACTCATCTGTGCTAGAGCTGGCCACTGGTGGGCACACTTACTTATTTCCTGGCTAAGGTGGCGTTTCCCATCATTCCAGCATGTCGACTCAAAATCAATGACAATTAAGTAGTCAAACAGCTGCTCTGCAAAAGATCACAGTGCTGTAACTTTACCAGTTTTACAAAGTTCAGGCTACAAAATGTAATGAAACTTAAAACCACTACTTACTGGATTTGCTTCCTCTGGGACTTCCATTTGCAGGTGCAATTGACTTTCTCCTAATTAATCCAAGCTGTCTAAAAACGTAAAATCATTCAGTATGTTCACACTCATTCACACACTCGTTCTGAATAAGCTAACAAACTAATGGTATAACCTTCATTACTAACGTAGTGATGTATTTTGATTAAGGGTAATGGAACTAGACTTGGAGGGCAGAAAACTGCCCCTTCCGTTTTAGAAATCATTTTACTGGCAGGGATGGAAAAGTACTATCTGCAAACGGGCTAATTCTTTCCCTTCGCTTTACAGTAATGCGGAGGAACTCGAGTGATTGTAAAGGTAAAGACACATCGCATGAATTCTGCTGATTTTACCTTTGCATTTTTCAAACCCTTGCACACACAGCAACGTTTTGAAGCAGTACAACATAGGGCAAGTCTAGTCTCCCCGGAGCTTAAACTATCTACGTAAAGAAACCTGACATCCATGTAAGCGACAGTAATGTAAATACAGGGCGAATTATTTCCAGAAACGATGGCTATGAAGTCCACAGAACGGGATGAGCTTGCTGAAAGGTCTTAAGTGCGAGCAGCTACTCTGAAGCCTAAGTAGGCAGACCCGCCCTGCTGTCACTTTCCGTTTAAGGGGTGTGTATGGTAGTCCCTACAACTTCCAGGAGGCCACGCTATTTCAGCAAATTTCAAAAAAGGAGATAAGATAGGAAACGGAGTTGGGAACATGGGAACAGCAAATTTCAAAAAAGGAGCTAAGATAGGAAACGGAGTTGGGAACAGCAGCTAACCCTGATTGCAACATAGCACTTCGCGCTAACACCTAGCAGCGGTAGACACTTCTGCTACTTATGTTTAAAGCAAGAGAAAACGGATCCAGTCATTTGCCAAAGAACACCGAAGTGGTCTGTGACGCCAGCATGCGACCTCCGAAGCCCGGGCTATTCAAACAAGGCCCGGTTCTAGAAAGTGCAAATGTGTGCGTGTGCCCAGGCCGCCCGGAGAAGAGGATAAACGCGAGCTGGGTGAAGTGGGGCGCGCGGCGCGAGGGGTGCGGGAGTGAGTGGCCGCCCCAGCCGATCCCTGCACCTCCCCAGGTCTCGCCATCAAGTGCGGGCTACGGGCCGAGGTGCCCCCGGGCAGAGGCCGTCAGCGCGGCCGGAGAGCGCAGGCGGGGCGGCCGGGGCCGGCCACCGGTGGGGGGGGTCGAGGCCGCGGACGCCAGCGCCCCCGCAGGCGCGCCCCCCGCCCGGAGCCCCCGCGTACCGCGCCAGCTTCTTGGTCGCCATCCCCGAGCGCGTCTCCGCGCGACGCGGCTGCCGGAAGTCGCTCGGCCGCCACTTCCGGTCTGTTCAAACGCCCGGCGCGGCTGGCTGGACGCGGCGGCTCGGGGGCCGGCTGAGGCGGCGATCGCCCCGCTCTTTAAGGCTTTCTCGGGGCTCGAGGACTTGGGGCGCAGTGGTGTGCGGCCAGACGCCTCTGGACAGCCTCCCCGTCCCTCTGTGCCTACGGGCGGGGCGCTTTTGGCCGTTGGGGACCGTTTCGAATTCTGCCTCAGGCGCGGACGGTAAAACCGTTTGGCTCCTGACGGCGCGGTTTTCGGGCCTCGGGACTGAGCGGCCGAGGGCGCCCTAGCTTTGCAGGCGGCGGAGAGCGCTCCGTAAACTGAATTCAGGAGCGGATCCGAGGGAGGTTCTAGGAAGTGGGTTCCCTGCCGCTCCCGCCTCAGGATTCCGCCCGGGCTAGAGAATCGCGGCATCGGGGTTACCTCAGTTTTAGTGAATCTTTCTCTACAGCCTCATGGAGCCTGAGAGGGAAAGGACCCGTAGTCAACCCAAGAAGGGCAGGAAGAGGAAGCGGGTCGCGAACCAGTGCCTCGGGGCCGGCGAGGCGGTGAGAACCCGCCCTGATCCGGAGAGACAGCCGGAGGCCAAGGTGAGCCGACACCGAGGTAGTGTGGGGACCCCCAGACGCTCGCCAGACTCGCACACCCTCCGGCCTGTCGGAACCCACTTTGTGATCTGGGACGTGGTAATGATAGTGTCAACTGCCTCCGGGCTCATATTGGCGACTTCAAACTGGTGCAGAGCGCTACATACCAGCAGTGGGCTCCTGCAGGTGTTTATGGGGCCCTGCCCGCCTGCAGTTTAGGTATTGTTATCCCAGTAAGGGGTAACAAGGCTGGCGATCATCCCCACCACAGACTGCTTCATTCATCCGGATTTTTATGGTCTGCGGGGAACTATTAACGTATGAAGAAAGCACTATGATACTTGAACTTAGGTTCTAGTGCAAAAGAGATAAAACAGTAGGTTCGATTGGTTACATGGTATGTTAGAAGGGTATTCAACCGTTTAAACTGTTAATTGAAATAGATTCCGTTTTCCTACCAGATTGGCAGAACCACTTCCAAAAAGGTTAATGTGGAAAGTGTAAGGAAGTTGATAACCCCATCGTTTTTATTTTGAAATCATCTCGAAGTTACAGAAAAGTTGCAAGAAAGTCTCCAAAGGGCCCTCCCCCAGGATTTGGAAGTGACTGCCCATCACCCCCGCCTCTCCACAGCTAGTCTGTTTCAATAAGCTGCCCTGGAAATCACTAGGAGTGTCGCTAGACAAGAGAGGAGAGGACCCAGAGGTCCCACCTCACCCTCCAGCAGCCACAGTGAATAATCCCACTGAGGAGGTCCGCCTCTGTCTACTGCTGCACCCAGTGGGGACCAAAGGACCAGGAAACACCCCCCCCCCCAAGCCTGAGGAAGGCGGGGCGCTGGTTCCCACTTCTCCCATTGCATACCTCCAACTGCTCTGCAGCAGGCCATTCCCGTCACCGGCCAGGCCAAACTACCTGTTTAGACAGTGTTCCCTCTTACCTAGATTACTCTTTCTTTTTAGCCCCCATATTTTCAACTAGTGGTATCGCCAAAACCCTGACCCAATGGCCATTTGGCCTCTGGTTCTACCTTTAAAATAGCAGTTTGTATTGGGATTATTTCTGTCATTTCCCCCCTAGTAGAAAGGACTGAGAACATGAATCATGTTTGTTTCATTCTACTATCCCCAGCACATAACCAAGACACTGAGGTTCCATTATCAATGCTTAATATCAGATTATTTTAGGCATTCGTTCCAGTTAATTAGAACTTTTATGTCTGGATAGATGCTAAAAATAGAAACTATATTATTTTAATTTGCACTTGTTACTGTTCTCAATATGATTTGTCATACCCTGATTTATCTTTGCAGAAAGCCCGCCTATCAGCCAATTTATTTGCTGAAAATTGCGAAGTAACCCACAGCCAGCTATGTGAATTGCTGGCATATGCAGTTTTGGGTAAATCCACTGTTCCGAAACCCAGGTATGAGAAGAACTTAAAAGGCTGAATATTGACTAAATGTTTCAAATTGGTGTCTGGAGAATCGTATCTTCCTTAACATTTGCTGCCATACAGAATGTTTAAAAAAAAAAATAATAACACTTGTTCTCAGCAGTTTGATTTGGGGATTCTTTATATAAAAATCTAGATTCTTCTTTCAAAAAGTGAAAGATCTGACAGCTCCCTAACTTTTTGCATGGTAATAATTTTTCAGAGTTGAATAGTAGCTTCCACTTTATTTTTTTAAAGACGTATTTAAAAAATACGTCTATACCTCTGGGGTATAGGCCAGAGGTGCAGGGGCAGAGAGAAGATTCACCAGAGACAGAGTAGGCAGCAGAACAAGCTGATCAGTGATCACTGCTGAGGGGAGAGGTCTGTTGTGCCACATGGATCACCTTTGGGGCTGGGGATCGAACTGTGGCCAGCTTGTAGTGCTGCCACCAGGGAGGGCCCAGCTTCCCACTTTAGATGGGACATATATACTCGAATGCCTCACACAGGCTGCTTCTTTTATTTACATTATCTTTCTGGCAGTATCTATTTTAGGTGTTTTGTTTTGTAGCACCCAGTGGATATCCAATTGAAATAACATGATCTTATATTAAGGATCTTTTCCTTTTGCAAAGGGCAACAAGAACTTTATTATTTTCTATCTCAATGCCATTATTCAATGTGTAATGAAAATTGCTTTTATCTATACATACATACACACATCAATAGGTTTTAAAGTGTATCTCTGGGGAAGATTACCTAGCACCTTAAAAGCATCTTCTGCATAAACAAATATCGCCATTGATCTGTCAACTTGTCTAAAACTGACTTTCTTGAAGCTGGCCATATGCTAACTGGCTTAGGAAGGGTAGTAGAGTAGGTTAGGATCTTAAGGCTGTTTTTGTAACGGCGACCTTAGTTTTGATTTGTGTTGTCGATTTGAATACATTTTGTTCCTCTCAGCATTTTGCTTGCTTTCAGTGCCATAAGTGATTTCCTCATGAGATCTTTATTTGAATCCTGTGTAGTAATTAATAGCTGTTCACCATTATCCAGGTATTCAGTGAGCAATGATAAACTTCATTAGCTGTTACTGCTTTTTCCCCTACACTTCCCTTCTGTATGCCCATAACTGATGAGGGTATGTGTTGGTTTCACTTTTCAACAGCTGGTGCCAGCTTTTTCACCAAAACCAATTGAACAACGTGGTGGTTTTTGTACTACAGGGAATGAGTCAGCTGCACTTTTACAGGTTCTATTTGGAGTTTGGATTTCTCCGTAAAGCTTTCAAACATGTAAGTTAAGAAAACTTTGTTTTAGGGCCTGAGTCAGGTCCTTCCATCCAGAGAATGGGCAAGTGTCTCAAAAAATACCTTCTTTGACAACCTTTCTGAACAAGCCAGTAGAGTTATAGAAAAGCAAACAAGGTTTAAAGACTCCTGCTGAGAATGGATTTGTCCTTGATTTTCTTTGGTAACACGAGCAAGGTACCATCGCAGTAGCAGTCAGTAGCTATCAGATTGATGCTACCGTGTATATTTGGACTATGGTGTTTTACGATCAAACATCTACATTTGTATTTCAGCTCCTCAGTAGTGCTTCAGGATCAGGTGCCCTTAGAACAGTACCTGGAGCTGAATCTCAGATACCACCTTTCTCCATGCCCCATAGATGTCTCCCCTTTTTGCCGGACTGTTTCCTCCATTTCCCTTAATCTTGGTTCTCCGTTTCCTTGTCTCATTTATTGAGCACTACCTATGTACTGGGCTCTACATTAATCAGTTTACACACATCATCATAATTTACCCAATAGTCCTTTATGACATATTTTTTATTCCTATTTTATACGTAAAAAACTGAGTAACTTGTCCAGGTTACAGCTAGTGAGGGATAGAGTGGAATGTAAGCCCAGGTGAACCTAAGACGGAACTAGAAACTTCTTTCTTTTGCTGTATCATCTGTCCTTCCTACCTGGCGTACTGTGCACACAGGCAAAGATATGGAAATGCTTTGAAAAGTACAGCAACTTCCTTATCCTAAGTTATACCTCTTTGTGATGTATTCAGAGATGTAAATCCAATTTCTAGAGTGGGATACATGCGGTCAATTAGTTACTTTGACACATGAGGGAAATAGCCCTGATTTTACAGTGCAAGTGGTGAAGGCCCAGACCTTCAGAGACTGAGCTGATAAGATCTTTCACAGGATCTTAACTGTTCTCAAGCACTTTTTAAAAAACTTGTTTTGTATTTTCAGAAATTTCTCTTGCCTCCGCCAACATCTACTTTCCTAGCTGATATCGTTGGACTGCAAAAGAAACAAACACCTGGGGTTCTGTCTAAGACGATGGAAGGTAGGCCTGTGACTCTATGGGTTAGTGGGTGTGCTTGCAAGTAGGTTCGCCAAGCATGTTTATTCTTGCAAGCAACTCTTTGACACAAACAGAGAAGAAAACCCAATTTAACGAAAATTGGGTAAGTACTCAGTCAGGTTGAGGAGGCAGCAGAAACCACAGCAAGGGCACCCACCTCCGAGGCCCTCTGCTGGCTAGAGAGCTGAGGCTCCGGACACCACTGACATCAGACGTCTATTAATCAGTGTGAGGGAGTTTTAAACTGTCAGTGGGTGTTTGTAACCACAAGTGCATAGATGAGAAGAAAGATTTTTCCTTTGACTAATGTAAGGGACACCACTAATAGGATGCCAGTGAGGAATAGGCAGCAGATGTGGTTCCAGCCCATAAAATACACACACATGAGAGCACTGGGGGTGAGAAGGGTAGAGTGATGGAGTAGGATGAAACTTAGCAGTTCCTTGCAGGTAGAAAGGTAAATATTGTTCATTGATGCCTTTTTGTGTTCAGAAATAAATAAAACGAGTAGTTACACGGAGGGACGTGAAAAGGAATGACCAGTGATTCCTTCCCATCTCTGCAGGACTGTGC